GTTTATCTTCAGTGCCTGAAATTCTCTCTTCCATCTCTTGTGTTTTGTTAGTTATGCTTGCATTCATAGTTCCCAATCATTTGCTTAGTTTTTCTATTTCCAGCAATCCCTCAGTTTGTGTTTTCTTTATTATTTCTATTTCAGTTTTCAAGTCTTGAACTGTTTCCTTCACCTGTTTGATTGTTTTTTCCTTGGCTTTCCTTACTTTAAGAGATTTATTTCTTCCAATTTTTTGTTTGTGTTTTCTTCTATTTCTTTAAAGGATTTTCTCATATCGTCTTTGAGGGCCTCTATCATTTTTATGAAGTTATTTTTTAAGTCATCCTCTTCTGCTTCATCTGCTTTGGTGTGTTCAGGTCTAGTTGGTGTAGAGTCCCTAGATTCTGGTGGTGTGGTCCTTGTCTTTCTATTGTTAGGTGTTTTCTTGTATTGCTCTCTTCCCATCACTTCTTCCAGTGGGTACAAGTGGAGTCTTTCCCGGCGGGCTTAGATGGGTCAGGAGTTCAACGTCTGTAGCTTTGGGTGGTCCAAGCTTCCTAGGAGGTCTCTCCTCAGGCAGGGGCCCAGTGATGGGGGTCAAAGATCAGGTAGGCAGGGACTCAGAGTGGTCCCACCTGGATAGGCGGGTCTAGTGTGCTCAAAGCAGATTCAGGAAGTTCTACCATATCACAGTTAGTCCTATAAACAAAGCCAATAATGAATGTCTGTAAGAGTTTGTTTCATGCATAAATTTGTGATAGTGGGGTATGACCTCAGTTTTTACTGTACCTTCAAGTATGTATGAGGCCAGATCAAAGACTTAATGAAGAAATAATAAGACCTTTATAGCCTACATATTAATTGTCTTATTATCTGTTATATATACTAATGTCAGAAGACATCTTACATTTTGCTAATATATGTTATACATATAACTTGTTGCTTTTTAAAAAATTCAAGTGACATAAGCTGGCCAGGAAATAAATTGTTCATGGGAAAAGGATTAAAAACAGAAGATTGTTATAGAGGTTTCTACAAATGAGTACATGATCAGCACTCTAAAATAAACCACCTAATTGTAAAGCCTGAGCTATACATCAAATGAGTGATTTAATTTTCTCTTTTTATTTTAAAATCAGATTATTTAGGATTGTAATTACACTATAGAAATTTAATAATTATAAGAAATTCAGCTTTTTCTGTTCTGAATTAACTCTTAATGTTTTCCACACTGTTATAAACTAGAATGATAGTATTTCCTTATGTGTTTATTTTTTTCTTCTCAATTTTTAATATCTTAGAAACTAGCTACTCAAACAATGCAGACTTGGTCATTATACATTCTACATATGTATTGAAGTGTCATACTGTACCTTATAACAATGTATTGTTTGTGTCAGTCAAAATCAAAATATTGTTTTAAAAATAGTCTTAAAAATAAAAATGCTGTCAGGCGGTGGTGGTGCATGACTTTAATCCCAACACTCAGGAGGTGGAGACAGGCAGATCTCTGTGAATTTTATGTCAGCCTGGTCTACAGAGCTAGTTCCAGGACAGCTAGAGCTGTCACACAGAGAAACCCTGTCTTGAAAAACCAAAAAGAAGGAGGAGAAGAGGAGGAAGAGGAAGAGGAGGAGAAGGAGAAGGAGGAAGAAAGAAGAGGAGAAGGAGGGAGAGGAAGAGAGAAGGAGGAGAAGAGGAGGTGTGATGGTTCCTACTTTTAATCCTAGCACTAGGAGGCACAGGAAGGCAGATCTCTAAGTCTAAGAACAGCCTGGTCCACAGATCAAGTTCCAAGACAGCCAGGGCTACACAGAGAAACTATCTTGAATAAACAAAGGAAAAAAACAAGAATCAAACATTTTTCAATATAACAATACTTCTTAAAACAATAATAAAAGTGAAAATTGCCAAATTAACACCAATATGTATCAATATGTATTTATATTTTCCTTTTTTTATTTTTTGTTTTTGTTTGTTTGTTTGTTTGTTTGTTTTTGTTTTTTCGAGACAGGGTTTCTCTGTGTAGCTTTGGAGACTGCCCTGGAACTCGCTTTGTAGACCAGGCTGGCCTTGAACTCACAGAGATTCATCAGCCTGCCTCTCGAGTGCTGGGATTAAAGGCGTGTGCCACGGATGCCCGGCCTATATTTCCCTTATTAATAATAGTACCATAGACATATTTTTATAAAATTCTTGGAGTAAAGTTTATGCTATGACTTTTAGACCCAATTTTTAGTCTATTTCAGTTTAGCTACCTTATGACAACTAATACTTCCCTGGGCTCCAATGAATGGCCCCACATCTACACACATATAGGCAGCACTAACTGGGCTTAATGCGTTCTCAAAAAAAAAAGATGAAGTTATAGAGTTGGGAGGGAGATGATGTAGGGGTATGAGGAGAGTTGGAGGAGGAAATGGGAGAGATGTGATTTTATTTCATTGTTTGCATTATAAAATTCTCAAAAAAAACACATTTCTTTAAATCTTAGCTACTTATAACAACCTTCCATATCCTGGGTTTTCTTCATTAGTTCTTGTTTGAAGATGCATAGATAGATAGATAGATAGATAGATAGATAGATAGATAGATACATACATACATACATACATACATACATAATATATAGATAGATGATACATAGGTAGGGGGAGAGAGATTGTTTCTTAATTTTTGTTTGAAGTAGGAACCCATGTAAACCAGGCTGGCATCAGGAGTACACCACACTTCTGCCTCTTTCCCAATTATTTTTTGTTGGATAGTTGGACACTAAGCAGTACACAGAATAATTCATTGTGTAACCAGGCAGGGCACTATAGATGTTTAAGCAGTCTGGTATACTGGCCAAGGGAATCACTCCAATAATGTTTAAGTAAAATATCTTCTCCCCGGCCAGAAGACAGGAATTTGAAAGTCTGCAACACAGAGATTACAAATGTTTGGGAAATTGAATATCGTTTCCCCAATTTGAATATCACACAATGAACACATATACCAAAGCAGCATATGAAGACAAGAATAGTTATAATTGTGTATCAGTTTTTAAAAAATAAGTTATTTTAAATGTGCTTTTTCGATTTCCAAAATAGCATCATTTTCCTTTTTTGTAGCTTTGGAAAATGAACCTGACTTCATGCATTCTGAGCAATCTCTATATTTCTGAGCGACATTACCAGCCCTCCCTTCATTTTTCATTTTGAGGCAGATCTCACTTAGTACCCAGACAACTCACTCTGCAGCTAAAGAAGGCCTGGAACCTGTGATCCTCCTGCCTCAGCTTCCTAAGTAGCTGGGATTAAAGGCCTGTCCTGAGGGCTCCAACTTTCACCTGAAAACAACAAACAAAAACCCTTCTGCCTCATCTGTAAGATCAGGCTGGAGAGGTAGCTCAGATAGCTGAGTGTCCAACATTTGCTGTGTTTACAGAGGGCCCAAGTTGGGTTCCCAGTGCTCACAAGTACCAGGGAATCTGACACCTTCTTCTGGCCTCCACATGCTTGCAAGTGGCACACATACATACAATTGCACATGCAAACAAGAACACACACACACACTAAAGTAAAATAAATGAATCTTTAAAGCTAAATAAATCTGTAAATTTGCCTTTGAAAGAAGTGCTAGCCTAAGGCACACATGCACAGCAGGACCATCTTTTTATTTTTATTTTTAACTAGAAAAGAAATAGTGTTTATTTTTTTAATTGTAGAGATTTTAATATTTTTTCCATTTTTATTATTTTTTTTATTTTACATGTTGATCCAAATTCCCTCTCCCTCTCACCCTCTCTCTCCCCTCACATGCACCCTACCCACCCTCCCCTCCCATCCTCCCACCCCAATTCCACATGTAGGGCAATGCCATCCAGGTGGGGTCATGTAAATCTGTCCAGTCATTTGAAGTAGGAACTAGGACTCCTCTCCTGTCTCTAGGTTAAGGGAGTATCCTTCCATGGGGGATGTGTCCACAAGGTCTTTTGTGCACCAGGAATACATCCTGGTTCCACTATCTGGGGTCCCTTAGACTGCTCAGTCCTTCTACCTGAGACCCATATTCAGGGAGTCTGAGTCAGTTCCATGCTGGATTCCCAGCTATCAGTCTGGGGGGCTGTTAGTTCCTCCATGTTCAGGTCAGCTGTCTCTATGTGTTTCTGGAACCTGGTCTTGACCTCTCCCTCTGCATCTGGATTCTAGTTCAACTCAGTGTTTAGTTATGGATGTTCGCTTCTGTTTCCAACAGGTACTATATGAGGGCTCCATGATGGTAGATAACTTAGTTGTTGATCTCACTATCCGGGAAGGGCATTTATGGTAGCCTTTCCACAGTTGCTCAAATTGTCAGTTGGCGGCAGTCTTGTAGGTCTCTAGACCTTTCTTTAGGTTCAGTTTTCTCTTCAAACCAATAAAGGGTCCCTCTTTTATGTTTGTTCTCTCTCTCTCTCTCTCTCTCTCTCTCTCTCTCTCTCTCTCTCTCTCTCTCTCTCTCTCTCTCTCTCTCTCTCTCTCTCTCTCTGTCTCGTGGTGCTTGAGGAAAAAGAAAAAGACAAATGGGTCTAAGGTGGACCTGATAGAGACCTACCTGCCTGCTCAACCTTCCCCGCAACCTCTGCTCCAGCCATTATTCAGCTGCATAACCTCCTCGTTAGTCAGCATAGCTCCTAGCTCCGGAGTGTTTTCTGCTTCACTGGCACTAGTAGTTGAGATCTAGGGCGGTCTGAACCCCACGTCCCTATCTTTTAGCACTGCATCCCTCGTGGATATTTCCGAAGCAGTTTGCCACCCTCACCCACGCTGCCCTTCCACTTAGTGCCTAGCAGGCTCCACTCTCAATCCAGAGTCTGAACTAACATATACTCAGAGCCTAGATCTGAAGTGAATAGTGCTCTGGGCAATCTGCTGCACAGGCGCACTAGGCGCTTTAGGCTCCACCTCTCTGGCTCTCTCTGTCTCCGTTACCTTGGCAACGTAGTACACATTGCGAACACTAGTAAGGTGCACGATGTGCTTTATCATAGTAGGACTACAGAACAGACAGCGGGAGGAGGGTAAGAAAACCAGGAGAGATGAATACGGAGGAAGTACAGCTCGCTCCTTCGCTCCGTGGAGTTACGCCTGGTTTACGTAAGAGTTGGCAACCTACTCTACCGATCTACCTAACCCCATGCTTCCCTCCACCCATGTGCTCATTTGGAGTTTCTCTTCTTGGTCTTTAGGGAAGGTGGATAATTACTCCTTTGGGACACGTCAACAGAGGAGACTCTTTCCTCACTACCACCCTCCAACCTGGTTGGGGAACAAGTTTCTCCCTCTTATGGGATCGCCCCAAACAGGCCCTGGGTGTTACGAAGCAATAGACGTGAGTATTCACCTCCCCTCAGTTTCCTATGGAAGGATACACAAGTGTTCTGGTAGAAAGATTACTCTTATGTGTGACCTTGTGTGACCTTTTTTGTTCTGGTTCCCACTACCCAACAGGAGAAGTCCGGGTCTGCAACCAGCTATAGAGCCAATGTGTAAAGGACCACAGTTCACCCCTTCCCATCCCACTAAATGCAAGCCTTGTCTATATACCCCTGCTCCATATTCACTTCCCAGCATCCCTTTGAGCTGATGTCAGTTTCTTTCTGTTAAGTTCAGACCTCAGGCTGCTTCTTCCATAAAGCAAATTCAGCTGTTACAGGGCTCTGAGGATGGTAGCCTTTGGGATTCAAGGAAATTCAATATTCATCTATCCAGCCACCACTTTTTGGCAAAGCTACTGGTGCTGTTTGTTTAACTGTATGGTTTTAACTATAAAAGAGTCAAGACAAAAAAAAAAGCAGCAATGTCTTGCAAAGAAGGACACATAGGAACATTCTAAATTCACTCGACTTTGAAGGCTGCTTTGTGAATATGTTACTGACTTTCTCGTTTTCTCCTCCCCTCCTTCCCCCTTCCTTCACTGGAAGTGGAATAGTTTGGCACACAACCTATCTCGGACCCCGACCAGTACAAAAGGTTATGCTATTGGAGCCAGGACAGCTATGAGGTTTAAGCCAGTCAGCAAGGTAATGTTCTGGGATTGTAAGGTTGTCCTTGTGGAAACACAAAAAGTTGAGACATTAACCACTACAAGCAGGAAGTAACCTAAAAGCAGCAAAAACCAGTTCGCTGAAGAAATAGACCCAGGACAGGGTTTTATTTACATCACACTATCTTGTCAGTTAAAGAAAAAAATCCAACTCTTTCATTGTGTGTGTATGTGTGTCTGACTGGGTTTCAAGACTAATTGTGGGCAAAACCAAAATCCTCATCTTTCTCCTTTTTCTGAGCCTAGACTATGCCAGGCCACAGCCCCTAGATAACCAAGATCCAACTCTGTCTAGACAGTCAAGGAGTGGCAATACTAACTATAAAAGTCACCCAGTGGTGGACTGCACCAACTTGCTCTGATTCTTTAATATAGATAGATAGGTAGATATAGTAAATATAGATATTATGTGGAGTTTTGCCCATATAGGCCTATTTCTACCTATTACTCACTGAACTGTAGCAAACAGTATGAAATGATTGTTTTGTTTTTTTTTTACCTTAAATATGGATGCCTAGTACTATAAGCGTAACCAACACCCATGGCTGGTGTGGTCATATACCCTAGAGGAGATTTGAGACCATGTCCCTAACCAGTAAAATTACCAACTACATTCTAAACACCCATCTTTATGTCCACAGGTAAATAAAAAAAATAATTTGTAATAATATAAATTATACCGTATCATCTCTTAACACACAAATCCTTTTGTGATTATAGGATGTGACACCATATCCAGGAATGTATCAGAAAGTTAGTACTTGGAATGAAAGCTACAAACAATGCTTTGCACCATTTAATGCCTTGGTGCCTCGATTTAGGACTGAAGTTAAGGGCACTTCCTATCCTGGGTATGTCTTCTGTTTACTGTTCACTTCATAGGAAAGAAGTACATGAAGCAGGAATTATATCCAAACTTTCCAGTATGAATCTTTAAAGATTTAACCTCAAATGTCCCAGGTCTCTGGTACTGCGTAACTGTAGAATCAGTTATTAATTCAATAGTTGTTTACTACTATGTCAGGTGATTTTGCAGCTTCCACAGATCATTCAATATACCCACCAAACAAGGATCCTGATCTCTTGGAAAATACTAGAAAGAAACTAGAATTAAATATTCAAGGAAATACCAACAGTAATAAGTATACTGGCCATATAGTGTATTGGTCAAACTGTAACACTTCCAAGAGTTAAGGGAACCAAGTGACTGTTCCCTCATGACAGTAGCTGTGACCTAAGACTGCCATGGGCACACCAGAAGGTGTAGGGGGGGGGGTAGTGCTGTCCTATGAAGATGTTAGAACAGGGTGATAACATGATTAGAGTGATGAGCTGGAGGCTACTTTGTCTGAAGTTGTTAAGGAAAATGCTCAGCAAATGCCTCCTGATCTGAGAGCTGAATGAGTAGATTAAGCCAATCCTGTGAAGTGGCTTAATCTAGTATGTGAAGACGGAGCATCCCAGGTAGAAAAAAAGCAACTGCAAATACTTTAAGTTGAGAAGACATTTGATGAGATAGAAAAGGAAGAGATTGTCATGGCTATGGTATGGTAAGAAGGCAGGAAATGTGAACACAGGAGGAGGCAGGCTTGAGTACCTAGGCCTTATAAGCCAATGGGGTTTAGTCTAGATGTCTATTAAACTACTCAATATATACAACTTCAGGGGAAAATAGTCAAAGTCTTTCCTTAACTTATGAGAAATCCAAGGGCCAGAAAACGCAAGTCATTGGTTCAAGCTTGTGTTAAGGAAGTTTAAATGTTAGTCTTGATTCTGTATCTGCTCTAAACTATTCCTCACAATAGAATCCATAACAGCTTTACAAACACAGGCAATTCAAAAACTAATCTCATTGTTGAGAGCCAAAGTAACTGGTTCTGCTTTGTTTGCCCCTAGATTGCAGAAAGGTTGTCTGCATATATTGCACCAAGTTCAAACTGTAGGCAAGACTAATCTATCACCATGGTTAATCTCTTATCACTCTCCTGGGATGCTCTGGTCTTTCAGCTAAGGACACCGAGTTACAGAAATATTTTAAGTCTGTCTTTACCCTGCTTGGATGTCGAGGTTGGTTCTCTTTATCACTGACAACCTAATTAGAAACACACTAACAGGAAATGGCACTCATGTCTGCCTGACAGGTTAGTCTTATTTGTCCCAAGGCGGGTGGAATTCATGGTCAGTCATCAACTGTATGTTTATTTCTAGCCCCGGCACATACAATCCAGAAAGGAAGTCACCCCCAAAGGTTGTTTGGCCAATGAAATTTGGATCTCCAGACTGGTCTCAGGTTCCATGTCTAGAGAAAAGAACTCTAAAAGCTGAGGTAATAAGATTGGCTGTTAACACATCTTTCTGTCCAGTACTACCCTGTATTATCATTTGTTCTTAACAGAGAGTCTGTAAGGAAATGTTTTAAAAAGTTCATGGTCCCCTGAAGTTATATTTTGTGTGTATGCCAATGTGAGGATCTTTTTGGAGATCTATATATAGGCATTGGCTTTTTATAGATAATACTAGCCAAATATCACATTTTATTTGATACTTAGATAAGGGATTAACTGCTCCTGATAATTCTTTAGGGTAGAACTGGGAAAATATCCTATGTAACTTAAGAAGATGCTGAGATATAGTAGTGACTAGGTGACTGGGAAGCTGCAATCCACATTCGTAACTCCAGATGCATTGTTCTTTCTGATACAGCACTTATGTGTTAGATCACTGGAGAACCAGAGAGCATGCAAAAAATACTACCTGTCTCCAAATAGGAATCCAGTATTGCCTTCCTATGGGATCTCTAGGCCTTTTTCTAAGTGTCAGTTTTCTTATCTTTGAAATGAATATAATAATACAGTTTATCTGACATTATTGTAAAGATTAATAACAGATATGGAAAAGAATTTAATACAGCACATAGATTATATGCTTAGTATGGGTTTGCTATCATAATTCTAGGTTTATGGGGTTTTTTTTCCTAGTGGAATTTAGGTTAAATCCATAAATATTTGTGAAATGTCTAATATATGGATATATGTGTTAGGACCTATGAGTAACATAGTTAAACATACAATCCTTGCCTTCAAGATGCTGACCAACTACTCAAAAGTTTCCAAGTAGCCAATAATTCCTAGCATGATGAACACCAGAGTACAATGTTTTCAGTTATCACGAATGTTGATACACTTCAACCACCGTTGAGCTGGGCTTTACCTGGACCACAGGGTTAATGCTGTGAGGCTCCGTTTCACAGTCAGGAAGCTCAGAAGCAGAGGACTCTTGCTGAAACACTGAGCCAGACAATGTTCTTTTGTTGCAGCTGTCCACAGACAAGGACTTTAGAAAGCATCGGAACCGTGTGGCCTACTTTAGCCTGTATTACAACTGAGAAGTAGGCACTGTCTTGATATGTTCTCCTGATCACAGACTCTCCAGAACTGAGGACAGAACCGCTCTTGTACTTCTGGTTTCCTGGGCCCTCTGGTCTGCCAATTCAGCATCGGGGGAGGGGCAAGGGTCTCACAGTCACCCTACAAAAACATAAAGACTGATCCACAATGTTCCTGCTCTGTCTCTTTGTTTGTAGTTTAACAGTGCCTGTTGGGTGTCCAACCATGTAGCTTCATTTTAAGAAATATTCAGGGATCCCTTCAATTCTCAGGCATCAGTCTTGAATGTTCTACCACTAGCCTGGCCACTGGTTAGATCATAGCCCTTACATGTCAAAGGCTTGGCTATGAGCCCACAGAGCATGGGAAATATTTAAATTCAGATCAAAACACTTATGTTTGGGAGTTCTTCCAAGCTTTATGACTTCCCTGGTATAGAATGGAAATTCTCTGGTTCTGTTCTTTACTAGACTTACATAAAACTCAAAGGGCATCAAAAAAGTTCCATTACTCATGACATCACCTGTTTAGCCTATGTGCTGAGTTCCTGCTTAATGCCAGACAGAGTGACAAGCATTGGGAATATACTAGCAATCAACACACACCTAAGCTGAAGTATCAGAGAAACTACACAAAGTGGTGAGGAGGTTGGGTGTACCTCTTTCTTCTTTAAATGACCCCTAAAGGCAAGTATATCTTAGGGTGTAAAATATGAATTCACAGTAGCTGGGCACAGTTGCATGCACCTTGGGAGGCAGAGGCAGACAGCATCCTAAACTACAGGACAGCCAGGGCTATATAGAGAGATCCTGTCCTAAAAAGCCAAGAGAGAGAGAGAGGCAGAGAGAGAGAGGAGAGAGGAAGGAAGGAAGAAATTAAGGAAGCAAGGAAGGAAAGGAAAGGAAAGGAAAGGAAAGAGGAAAGGAAAGGAGAGAAAAAAAAAGAACCCAGAGCAACCATGTTTGAAGTGTGTATCTGCCTATGTTAGGTCTCAAACCCAGGTCAAATGGCTGAGGTGTCTACTTAACATTATCAAAGCAGACCTGGCCACCAGGTTCTCCCAGCATCCCTAAGTCCCTTCCTGTTACAGGACCGTTGTGGCTGGCGTACCCCACACTCCCCAGCCTAGAGGCTGGTCTCCCCTTCCCTATATAACCCAGCCATTTTGGTTACCTGCCCCTTTTTTGACTGTCCTTTACACTCCTGGCCTCTGGGTCTGGTCCCCTCCTCTCCCCTCTCCCCTCTCCCCTCTCCCCTCACCCTTTGTTTCTGTCGTCATAGAGCCCAGCTCAGGATGTGTATACTCTGGACTCTCCCAGATGTTCCTGTGGCTATGCTCTCTGTTTTATCTACAATAAACTTTCTCCTCCACCATACATAGGAGCAGTCATGTCCTTTGTTTATATTGCTTTATTTTTTTTTTTCATTCATCTGGTGCCAAAACTACAGGAGGCATATGTAAGTTTTCTGTCATGGAACTCAGCCTTTCTGAATCAAGCTGCTGATTTTACTATCCTAAAGTATGCATGGATCATGTTTCTGCTGGCTCCTGTCATCCATCAAATTTGACCCCAAATTCTAGAGTCTGCCTTCTCAGCAATTCCTCTTCATGTGTGAAGCAATTTCTTATATTGTCATATTATTAAATAAAACTCAGGAGTCAGATATTGGGGTAAAACCTAATAGAGCAAAGAACACAGAGAAAAAAAATGATTGACCCTGCCTCTCCAGGCTTCTGAGATCAAAAAAGACCTCGAATCTGTCTAAGGCCCTCCCTACTACTTCCTATGACACCCTATCTCAGTCCTCCAAAACCTCTATGGCTAATTCCAGTCTTGGGGACTTTATTATCCCTTTTATGTTTATGGAGCGTATCTTTTAAAGTACAATCAGATCTTTCTCTAACTGCTTGTCTGGTAGGATGTGTGGTATGGTGGTTTGAAAGAAAGTGGCCCCTAAAAGGAGTGGCACTATTAGGAGGTAGGACCTTGTTGGAGAAAGTGTGTCACTGGGAGAAGGTTTTGAGGTCTCTTTTGCTCAAGCTTCCTGCAGTGTGACAGTCAGCTGACTTCCTGTTGCCTGCAAGAATTAGCACTCTCAGCTCCAACACCACATCTAAATGCATGCCGCCATGCTCCCCACCATGATAGTAAAGGACTGAACCTCTGAAACTGTGTGTCACCCCAATTAAGGGTTTCCTTTATAAGTATTACTGTGGTCATGATGTCTCTTCACAGTAATAAAATCCTAAGACATAAGGTATACCAGTAATATGCTTTATGTTGTAATATGCAAAAATACTGTTTTATTATAGACAAATGCTGGAACATTGTCAATCTTAATTTGTATGGTCATTCCCATAATGGCTATGACTTTAAATAAATGTGTAATTATGGTATCAACCTTTTCAGAATGCAAAGCTGTTACCCATTGAGATCCTAATATGTATCTATGGTATGGTACACATACTTTAATTTTCCAAACTCCACAAAATGAAACACATTCATTTGACAAATTTCATTTCTTTGAGTACCTTTTGGATTGCTTCCTGTAAGTACTGGAGTTTGGGTACAAAAGAACAACTAGGACATTTCCTTATGATCTCTTTAGCTTGTTGCCAAGTGATGGGGGTAAAAAAAAAAAAAGGTTTCTTCAAACCATTGCTATTAACATAGTGTTTCTTATGAAATTCTGAGTCTTCTAGCACATTTCCTAGCAGTAGCTGATCAATTTCATTATTGCCTTGTCTGGAGGGCCTGGTAGACCCATATGGGATTTGATATGTATTATATAAGGGATGATTTTTATTTATGATTATTTATTGTAATCAAATAAGTAACAAAGCTAATTATGAGTCATCTGGAATAAGTTCAGTGGTTTCAATATGTAAAACAACTCTGCATTTTGAGAGTCAGCAATTATATGAAGAGGTTTTGGAAAAATGTAATAATATCGTGAGAATGATATATAATTCTGACTTTTGATTGGAATCATAAGGGCTTTGAGCCAATTTATTTAAATTTCAGTGTTAGCAAAAGGCAATTTCAGCATTATTGAAAGGTACCAAAATTTCTGCTGGGTCTGTTCCTGTAGCACAAATAATAAAAACCCAGAGACAGATACTGGGATTCAAGCTTTAGATCAGAAAAGAAAAACAGCCAAGCCACTAGAGAGTTCCTACCTCTACCAAGGCACAGATCAAAGAGGGGCAATTCTATCCTCAGCATGACTGCAGACAACCTCAGACTGTACTGCTCTCCCCCAAACCTCAGACTGCACTGAGCTCCTGTTTCCTGCCTATATTCCTCTCTAGCGCTGGGATTAAAGGCGTGGGGTCCCAAGTGCTGAGATCATCTTTGGGTGTGCTCTGTTTCTCTTTAGACTGGATCAATTTCGTGTAGCTCAGTGTAACCTTTAACAGAGCTCTACCTGCCTCTGTCTCCTGAGTGCTGGGATTAAAGATGTGTTCCACAAGTGTGGCTGCTGGGATTAAAGGTGTGTACCACCACTGCCTGGTCTCTATGGCTGTGGCTAGCTTTGCACTCTGATCTTCAGACAAGCTTTATTTGGTAGATCATTACCACACCTGTGAACTGAGAAAGTCTCAATTTTCCTTTCAGAATCCATTCAGAAACCTTTTCTACATAAAGTGTTTAATTTTTTACTCTGTATGGTGAGTGCTGAGAACACAGAATGTGAGACATGAGACCATCTGAATATCAGAACTGGTGGTGGGTGATTTCAACTATCCAGTTTGGGGACAGGGTGAGCAGTAACCAGACTGTGCTGCAGGGAGACTGCAGTGAGAAAGACCCAGGGCTCACTGGGAGGACTTGCAGAGAGGAGGGGAGAAAGCCATCCAACTGCTGTCTGTGACAGCATGGAGAAGTGGCAGCTTTGCAGCCATATGACCTCATGCTGCACATTGGACTCTAGATGAGGAGATTACTTATATTATTCTATTATTAAATAAAATGTGGGAGTCAGCTAGAGAAATGTCCAGAGACCTACAAGGATGGCCCCAACTAACAATTTGAGCAACAGTGGAAAGGCTACCATAAATGCCCTTCCCTGATAATGGGATTGATGACTAACTTATCCACCATCATAGAGCCCTCATCTAGTAGCTGATGGAAACAGAAGCAGACACCCACAGCTAAACACTGAGCCAAACTCCTGGAATCCTGTTGCAGAAAGGGAGGAGTGATAAGAAAAGGGCTCAAGACCAGGCTACAGAAACCCACAGAAACAGCTGACCTGAACAAGGGGGAGCTCATGGACCCCAGACTGATAACTGGGAAACCAGCATTGGACTGACCCAGACCCCCTGAATGTGAGTCTCAGTTAGAAGGCCTGGGCAGTCTATGGGACCTCTGACAGTGGAACCAGGATGTATCCCTGGTGCACAAAAGGACTTTGGGAGCACATTCCCCATGGAGGGATACTCCCTTAGCCTAGAGGCAGGAGGGATGGACTAGTCTCTACTCCAAATGACTTGACAGATTTTAATGATCCCTGTGGAGTGGGGGGGATTGGATGGGGGCATGGGAAGGAGGAAGGGAGGGAGAGGGAACTGGGATCGATGTGTAAAATAAGATAAATAAATAAATAAGTAAATATTTTTAAAAACACTTGGGAGTCAGATATTGGAAACAAAAACAAAAACAAAAACAAAACAAAACTGATAGATCCAAAGAGCAACAGAGAAGCAATCAGCTAACTCTTCTTCTCTACGCTTCCCAGATCAAAAAGTATTGGCTAACCCCCTCCCTACTGTTTACTGTGCCTTCCATCTAGGTCCTCTGAAACCTCTGCAATGGTGTCCTGACTGCAAAATATAATGGGGCAATGGTGGCACAAAGCTTGTGGGAGTGACCAACCAATGTCTAATTTGACTTAAGGCCCACTCCACGAGCTGGAACACATACCCAACACTGTTTGAGTGACTGAGGGACTTAGGATAAAAGAAGATACTACTGTTCTACTAAATGACCTTAGCAATAAAATGACCCCTAATGACATTCTGCTGTACTCAGAAATCAGAGATGTTTCCTGCTGCAGCAGATGGGATTGAAGACTGAGACTCACAGCCAGACATAACACAGAGGCTGAGACCTTGGAACACTGAGCCCTAAATTGAATGTCTCTATCAAATCCCCCTCACTCCTACTCC